TACTAAATGGTGAAATGTAATTTTGCTCTAGCTCTACAAGGATTGCAAGCCACCTATCCAATAATTCTAATTGCTATGATCACTAGGCATAAACAAAGGCTATGACACTACTCACTAAGAGCTCTCAACAGGTCTACACTAAAGAGCTCCACTAGGTGATACTAAACTAGCAAGCAAATAAGCTCTCAAAACTAGTTACACTAAAGAGCTTGTTACAACTACTTTGTAAGTAGATAAAGGAATGAGTAGGTGATTATACCGCCGCATAGAGGAATGAACCAATCATAAGATGTAGACAATCCAATCATCGAGAGAATGCCAATGGCAAGAGACAAGCGATTTTTCTCCTGAGGTTCATGTTCATTAGTTGTTCATTTGAGAATTCATCATCATCACTATCATTTTCACTTTCACTATCATCATTTTCACTCTCATCATATTTTACCTTGGAGCCCTTAGCCATGAAGCAAGATGAAGTGTCAAATAGTGAAGGCTTGTTGTTGATAGCAATGCTTGCTAGAGCCTTCTTCCTAGATGTCTTGTCATCATCACTTGAATCATCATCGGTGGAGGCGTCACTATCCCATGTGACAACATAGGATCCACCCTTCTTCTTATTCTTGAAGGTCATCTTCTTCTCCTTCTCCTTTTCTTTCTTGTTCTTCTTCTTCTCATTGTCCTCATTGTCACTATTGTATGGACAATCCGCCACAATGTGATCCGAACTCTTGCACTTGTAGCACAATCTTGCATACTCCTTGTTTTTGAAGTGATCTCTTCTCTTTCTTGAATCATAGCCCTTCTTCTTCATCATTTTGCCAAATTTACGCACAAAGAGAGCTAGTGCTTCATCATCACTATCATCATTAGAGCATTCTTCATCACTTGATTCTTCCTTTTTAGTCTTGTCCTTGCTCTTGTTCTTGGAGGATAAAGTGCCAGCCTTGAATGTCACACTCTTCTTCTTCTTGTCTTCCTCCTTCATAATCTCTTCACCATCACTATTGTATTGGTCCTCGGTCATCACATCACCAAGCACCTCATTTAGAGTGACATCCTTCAATCCACCTCTAAAGATGACAGTTCTCAATGTTTTGAATCTCTTTGGCAAATACATCAAGAACTTGTGAGAGAAGTCCTCATCCTTCACCTTCTCACTCAAATTCTTAAGATGACTTGTAGCTTATAGAACATCTCCTAAATGGACTCATCATCCTTCATCTTAAAGTTTGATAGCTTGTCTTTAAGCATGTAGAGCTTGGCACTTTTTACCATTGAAGTGCCCTCATATGTTTCTTCTAGTCTAACCCAAACTTCACTTGCCTTCTCAAGATCTTTGATTTGCTCAAACACCTTTGAGTCAATGCCATTGTATATTGTGTTGAGTGTTATAGTATTGCATTGCTTGTTGATCTTATCATTATCGGTGAGATTGGTGGGGTCAATGATCACAAACTCATTCTCTACCACATCCCACACCTTGTCGTTGATTGAACCAAGGTACATCTTCATCTTTCTCTTCTAATAGTCAAAAGATGTGCCATTAAAGAACGGTGGTTTACCCCCAACATTGAATAGAATTTGAGCCATATTTTGCACCGAAGGTTGTTAAGCCTTGAAACAAATGGTGATCATAGCTCCAATACCACTTGAAAGGTCCTAAATGGCTAGAGGGGGGTGAATAGCATATAAAATTTTCTACAAATACACTAGAGCAAGTGGTTAGTATACTAAATGGTGAAATATAATTTTGCTCTAGCTCTACAAGGGTTGCAAGCCACCTATCCAACAATTCTAGTTGCTATGATCACTAGACACAAACAAAGGCTATGTCACTACTCACTAAGAGCTCTCAACAGGTCTACACTAAAGAGCTCCACTAGGTGATACTAAACTAGCAAGCAAACAAGCTCTTAAAACTAGTTACACTAAAGAGCTTGTTACAACTACTTTACAAGTAGGTAAAGGAATGAGTAGGTGATTATACCACCGTGTTGAGGAATGAACCAATCACAAGATGTAGACAATCCAATCACCGGGAGAATACCAATGGCAAAAGACAAGCGATTTTTCTCCCGAGGTTCACATGCTTGCCGGCACGCTAGTCCCCGTTGTCTCGACCAACACTTGGTGATTTGGTGGCTAAGAGATGTTGCACGAACCTCGTCCACACAATTGGACACCGCAAGAACCTACCCACAAGTGAGGTAGCTCAATGACGAGCAATTTACTAGAGTTGCCTTTGACGCTCCACCGAGGAAGGCAGAAGACCCCTCAAATAACCGATCAAGGCTGGAGACAATCACCAACTCCACTCAACAATCCTTCAATCACCAGGCCGTCTAGGTGTCAGCAAACACCAAGAGTAACAAGCTCACAACCAGCCCAAAATTACCCAACTAGTACCACAAGATGATGCAACTCAATGCAATGCACTAGAGACTCTCCAATCTCACCCAAGATGATGAAATCAAGTGAACAAGTGAGTGGAGTGTGTTGCTTAGCTTCCAAAGGGTGTGCACAAGTGTAAGAGGTGCTAAGAGAGTGGCCAAGGCCGACCACACCCTCTATTTATAGCCACACAAGCAAATAGAGCCGTTATACCCCTTGGAGCTATTTCTGCGAGGTCACCGGATAGGGTGGTGCCTGGCACCGGACATGGCAGTGACCTGTCCAACGGTCAAATTTTAACGGTCACAAACTAGCTGTTGAGGCACCAGATAGGGTGGCGGTGGCACAACCCTAGGGGTGACGGTGACCACCCAGTCGAGCCCCTGAAAATCCTGCTCTCTAGATAAAAGGGGCGGTGCACCGCCGCACCTATGGAGGTGACCATGGCGGTGCCCCCCTCGGCTATAAATCCAACTCGTTGCCCTCGGGTGAAATAGGGCGGTGGTACCGGACAGGCAGTGACGGTGCACCGTCGTGCCCATGGCGGTGAACACCACCGTGTCCGGTGACCACTCCACAACATTCCTTCTCTGTCAGGTCCTGGTGGGCATAGCCCTAGGGGTGGCGGTGCCACCTAGGCACCAAACCCCTTCCCCAAGTTGCAAATTCTTTCGCGTTTCGTTTCACGGCAACTTAGAGCAACTTTCCGCAAGCGATGTTAACTCTCAAAGTGTTTTTTGAAAACATATTAGAGTCAAGTTAGCATTTCTCAAAACATTTTCCATAAATATTTTCGCTTGCTCTTCGAAGTGCACCAGGCCTAAATGCAATGCATGAAGTCCAACACCTAGTGACACTAGATGACCGAATTGTCTAGTTAAAAATATCTCTTAATAGTACGGCCATCTACCATAAATGTGATCACACTCTTTATAGTGTCCTGATCACTAAAATAAAATCTCTATTTATACATTTGCCTTGATTTCCATAGGATTTTGTTTTTCTCTTTCTTCTTTTTCAAGTTGAGCACTTGATCATCATCACATGTGGCCATCTTCACCATTTTATGTGATCAACATCACCATTTGAGTGCCACCATACTTCACAACTTGGATTGCACTAACCTAGCTTATATCACAACTCATGACAAAGGTTAGTGCATATGTTTCATCAATTATCCAAAATCAAATTAGGGTTTTCACCATTGCTTTGTTGTTCCTAGCAAAGAGAACGGAAACAATCAGAGACGGATGACCTCCTGGGTAACTCCATTGATGACGAAGGTTCCACACATATTGCTTGTAGTCATGTTCACTATTTATTTAAAACAAACAAAATCTAAATAGTTCTAAATAGGGTACTCTTAAATATATAACATTTTTAGAAGAAAATTAGTACAAGTTTTATATTTTTTAATTTAAAATAATAACTGAGTTTTTGGAGGTCATACCAGATTTTATTTTTTAAAAAGAAAAGATTCAACAGTTAAAGACTTAAAGGGCGTATGTTATTCTGTTTTGTAATTTAAGATGGAAAAATCGAACTACCATGCAAGGTGGAGGTTGAATAATGTAAAAACTTTTTATAATATTTTTATTTCCTATGCAAAATTGGTTTTACATTGCTAGATTTTGTGAATACTTTGCCTATACTTTTGCGATTCTTTTTTATTGCATTGCATGTGGACATGCTGACTTGCTGGAATGGCACATGAGTCTCTAGTCACCTGACACCAATACGTGTATAGATACCGACACGGTGACCACGAGACGACAACAACAAAATCCAGCGTAGACACGGTTTTCTTTAATCCCGAAAGTTGTAAACTATTCTCGGGAAAAAGAAAAGCTGTAAACCACCATTTAGAGATCTCCACTTGGCATCTATATAATTTTGGCAAAACAAGAAAAAATAGCCTATAACAGTTTGGCAAAACAACTTGGTAAATCTTCCCTCCGCGCGCGTAAATATACGCGCACATATACGGCTTGGCATCCGGGGTTCTTCGTTCGCTTAGCGGGCCTCTTCGTTCGCTTAGCGGACCTCTTCATTTTGTTAACGGGTTTTTTATTTTACCAAGTCAAAAATATCAAACTCTTGAAGATAGATTATTTTTTTACTTAGTATATAATTTTAGGAGTTGATAAATCACAAGATTTGTCAAATAAAATTTGACAAACTCTCACATGCTCTTATCAAGCAGCACACGCAGACCTGCGGCGGTGCTGCCTGCTGGCTGCTGGCTGGGGCTGACGAGTGACCACACTGGCCGGAGATTTTGCACAAATCACCCTGTTTTGTGCTAAAATCTCGACAAGATCCTGCACCTTCTCACTCTCTGATCAACTGATTAAAATCCTCGTCCCCTTTTGCCGTCTCTCTGTTCACGGCCCTCGCCAAATTCCCAAATCCAAGCGCGTCGCCGACGGCATTGCGTCGCCATTGCCTCCAAATCCGAGTGCCACTCGCGTGATCCCAGATCCCGCTCGTCGTATTCCCCGCCGTGACCTCTGACTTGAGCATTTGCCGCGCGGAAAATGGCGCCGTTTCGGCCGGTTCTTGGAAGGGCGCTTCTTCTGTAGGACCGCGGGCCGCGGCGAGAGGCTGCGATGGCGCTCGCCGCCAGCGAGGGGAATCTTTCCCCGGCGCTGCCCCTGGCCACTCTGATCGGCCGCGAGCTCCGCGGCGACGGCACCGAGCGCCCGCACGTGCGCTACGGTCACTCCGGCTTCGCCAAGCGCGGCGAGGACTACTTCCTCGTCAAGCCCGACTGCCTCCGCGTCCCCGGAGACCCTTCCTCCTCTTTCTCCGTCTTCGCTGTACGGCCCGCTTTTTCCCCCCTAAGATGTTTTTTTTTTGTCTCGTTTGGGTTCGGTGAGGAATTCCGTTCGGTGATGTGATGCCTGTTTTTTTTTTGGTTTGACGGATCTGCGGTTCACAGGTATTCGACGGCCACAATGGTGTGTCGGCGGCGGTGTTCAGCAAGGAGAAATTGCTGGAGCACGTGATGAGCGCCGTGCCGCAGGGCATCAGCCGCGAGGACTGGCTACAGGCGCTGCCGCGCGCGCTCGTCGCAGGATTCGTCAAGACAGACATTGACTTCCAGCGCAAGGGTGAGATGATACCAACTCACCGACACCGAGTGATCCTTGGCATCCTTGCAATGCCGTTGGGAATCTGGGCGAACCTGGCTGAAAAGATGCTTACTCTGGGAACTGGTGCAGGCGAGACGTCAGGAACAACGGCGACACTTGTTGTCGTTGATGGGTTCATGGTCACTGTGGCGTCGGTGGGAGACTCTAGGTGCATTCTGGATACACAGGGAGGCGAGGTCTCATTGCTGACTGTGGATCACCGGCTAGAAGAGAATGCTGAGGAGCGTGAGCGCGTCACGGCGAGTGGAGGGGAGGTCAGCCGACTTAACCTCTGTGGTGGACAGGAGGTAATGCTCACTGCTCAGTCATTTTGATGGAGAAGAATTCTAGGATACAATATCTGCTCTATGCTTTGGAAGCATTTCTGGATGTGTTTTTTTTTTATATATTAATTTCCCCCTTTTTTAGGTCGGTCCTCTCCGATGCTGGCCGGGTGGATTGTGCCTTTCAAGGTCCATTGGGGATACTGATGTTGGCGAGTTCATCGTACCTATTCCACATGTCAAGCAAGTGAAGGTGAAATCATGAGTTTTGATCAAAAGAAAAGAATTTAGCTCTTCTTAGCATATCCTTTGTTAACATGTGGTTTGCTTTTGGTAATTGTAGCTCCCAAATACTGGTGGAAGACTAATTATTGCATCAGATGGAATATGGGACGCTCTGTCCTCAGAGATTGCTGCTCAGGCGTGCCGGGGATTGCCTGCAGAACTGGCTGCAAAACTTGTTGTTAAGGTGATTATAAATGTGGCTGGGCTATTGCATCATCCTGTACTTTGCATGATATGCTTGATTATCTCAATCGTCTAATTAGTATCCATCTTGCTCGTCCAGCAAGCTCTGAAGACAAGTGGGTTGAAAGATGACACCACATGTGTGGTTGTCGACATCATCCCATCTGATCATTGTTCAACACCACCAGCATTATCTCCAAAGAAAAATCAGAACAAGTTGAGGTCTCTTATTTTTGGTAGAAGGTCTCATAGTTCTGTTGGAAAGCTCAGCAAATCTGCTTCTTTGGGCTCTGTGGAAGAAATATTTGAGGAGGGGTCTGCAATGTTGGAAGAAAGGCATGTTCTTATTTTCCCTTGCAGTTCATGTGCTTCTCAACTCCCTTTGTAGTTGTATGCACATTCTTGGCCATGAAGCTTTTTAGTGTATGTGAATTCTTCTTTGTTCACTGATACATTTTCGATACTTGTTTGCCGTGCTTAGTCTTTGTTCACTGATACATTTTCAATACTTGTTTGCCATGCATAGTAACAATGCAGAAATGCTTCACAAATTATATGTTTCATGTTTTGGTCTCACTCATGCCTTGAGTTTGGTGCTTTTGAGATAAAAAGAATTGTTAGTGGAGGGATGGCTCACATCTGGATTTAGGAATCAGTGCAGTAGAAACTACTAAGTACTAACCTAGTTCGTCCATTCTCTCTTGGTTAGGTATAGCTGGATGTTCCAGTTTTGGTATTTTGGGAATTCCATTTTATGTTCTCACTTCTCACACTGGCACAACCTGTTCTTTCATGGCTTTGCCATGTTCATGCTCCTTTGTTCTATTTCTAGGCCTTGATAGGAATCAACATTCGAAACATTGTTGGTGACATGTTGCATCGCTTGAATATATAGGTTGCCTTTCTTGTTTAGGATTAAAAATGTAGAGCAGGAAAAAAAAGAGTGAGGTGATGTACTCATAGATTGTTAGTCACATTCTGGATGCGGATGGTGATGATTTTACTTATAAATTCACATTTGGATAAAGCATGTGTGCCATTTGCTTCGTCCAGTTCCAAAACGAACTTCTTCCAGTTTTGCTAGTATACACTTATCTTCTTGTAACATGTGGTCTTGGAGATCAGGTTATATGCTGCAAGAGTCCGTTTGCTTAAATTCACTAGAATGCTTGATTGGATGGCATCATTCCTACTAAATTTGTTGTCTTGTCTTATCAGTAGAAGGTTGAGGTTCCCGGGAGCAGTTTGTGCTAGAATCGAAGAACTTTTTTACTACTAGGAGCATTTCATTTAGGTTAATAAACTCACATATATAACCATCACAAGACTGTCTTATGATTCACTTCACCTTTATGGCTGTTGGAGATCTATTACCAGTTGATGTTCTTTTTTTTTAATAGGAAGGACACCCTGTTACTTCTCTGTCTGCCCATTGGGGACTGTTCAGATATGCCTTAACTTGTATTGTACGCCTTCGCAGGTTGGGTAGAAATTTCCCATCAAAAGCAAATCTGCCCCCATTTCGCTGCGCAATCTGCCAAATGGACCAAGAACCATTCGAAGGTTTAATGACGGACAATGTAGGTGACTGCTGCTCAGCCCCATCAACACCATGGGGTGGTCCTTATCTTTGCTCAGACTGTAGGAAAAAGAAGGATGCGATGGAAGGTAAAAGATCGAATCGCTCGACAACGTGCAGGTGAAAGTACTGATAGGAATCACTGGGCCCTGTCCATGCAAACTTGCAAAGTAGTCTCCAATTTCGGTTTTCTGCTCCTTGTAAAAAGAGAGGAATAAACCTTTTGTTGTTTGATGGAGTATTGTTCGGTGAAACTAACTGCACTCCAGCCTGATCTGAAAAAAATCAGGGTACTAACAAGCCTGGTTTCTATTGACAGCGCCTATCAAACTTTCATTTGCTCTGAGAAGATAGCTGACAGAACTTGAAGCTGTAGTTTAAATTGTGAACCCGTAGCATGTAAGGGGAAGTGAGTAGCTTAACAATGTTTTATAGAACGATGGTGCGGCTCCTCATTGCTGCTTTGGAATGTATTTTGTATGGAGCTGAAGACCCATATGTTTGATTCTATCCTAATCGACTCTATGGACAGTATTTGGTATTTTTGACTGGACTGGATTTCCTTGTATTCGTCGTCCTGTCCGCGATCATATTGTTGCAACTGGGGTACATGCCAGTAGGGAAGTAGTACTGGTTTCCTGTTAAGTTGGGTGCCTCTTCTGAATTTTTCCTTCCTGCAACCGTCCTTCAGCTAACGGTCGTACAACTGTCAGATGTGTTATAGTACAAGATTGAACACATTTGTAGGACACAATACATTTTAGTGTGGTTCTGGAAACGTTGGAACTTTGAACTCATCATTCATGCCAGCTACCTTGGCCTGAAGAACGGAACTGCTGAAATATTTGCGTGTTGTTGATGGCCAGTACTCCGGACAGGCCCCATGTTCATGTTAGAGGACGTATGATCGATCTACCCTATTGGGACTTTGGGAGATCATATTTAACTTTCCCACAATATCTTACGATGAACAAGCAAAAGAAAAGGAAAACAACAAAGCACCCTTTTTATGCTTTTACAGACAGGGGAAGGGACTCTGGTGAACAGTCGAACGCCCCACAACTGTGTTCTTCTCACTACTCATCACTCATGTTACATCCCAAAATGACAAAAGATGACATCTGATCCTACCACCAATTGCACTACTAGTTACTATATATCTTCTCTGCATCAGCTTTGCCTTTCCTCCAGGCATCCTCAGACAACACAGCAACGACCTGTGACTGTAAGCAGACAATCAGTCAGAGTGCACCGACCCGACCCATGCATGCTCCGCTGCAGCTGCAGCTGCAGAACTCGGCGTCCGACCGATGGCCTGGTCCTCTCCTTCCGCGCGACGCAACGGGGCCACATGGAATAGACAGCGTGTCCGGCGAGACGCGTCCTGATGAAACGCTGGGCCGTTGGCCTCTCTCGATCACAACCTGGCGCCGGTGCTGGAGAGAAGCAGCCCGCACGGCTGCGACCCGCTGAACTGCACGTCGAACGGGTCCCTCGCGTCGAACCCGCCCGCCCCAAATGAAGGGAACCACGCCTCGGCGGCGTTGAGCTGGTGCGCCGCGCTGGCCGACTGCAGCACGTCCTCCAGGGCCTCGCTCAGCGGCTGGTGCTGGTGCTGGTGCTGGAGGAGCTGCGGGTTCAGCAGCAGGCCATGGCCGTCGTGCGAGCTCGCCAGCGCGCCTGCGGCAGAAGGCTGGACGACGCCGTGTGGGAGGCCGAGCATCTGCGCCGCGGGCACAGGCAACGGCGCCGGCGGGGCCTGGAACGTGGCGGGTGGCTGCTCCGCGGCGCTCTGCGACTGCACCTTGAACTCGGCTATGCGGTCCGGGAACTTGTACGCGTCCTGCTGCAGCTTCACCACCAGTGCCTGCAAACAACAGGTACGATCAGGAGCCGTTTGTGACGCGATCGTCGTGCTCCTGCCTGCCTTCTGCTCATCTGTTTACCTTCTGCGTCGGAGTGAGAGCGCTCAAGGTGAAGCAGTGGCTGCCGACGATAACGCCGACGACTTCGTAGATGCAGTTGAACAGGAGCACGATCCCGTGCCCGCTGCAGTAGGAGTAGAGCTTGTCGTCCAGCACGCACTCCCGGGCGTGCTCCACCGTGGATTCCCACATCTTGTTCGACATGCCGCTGCCAAGCAACTGAAATTGGAAACACGCACGGTGCAGCAGGATGAGTATAGAATGTTCAGAAAGTCTGAAACAGAATCAATACTGCTGGATGCATGTGTGTGATATAGGGATAGTTTCTTACGCTGCGCAGTCCGTACTGATCCATCACCAAGTTCTTGAGGAAGTCTTGAACAGTGTGGATTCCGAAGTCAGCCAGCTTCTTGTGGAATACGCCGTCTTTCCCGATCTTCTCCAGACGCCACACGTCGTCTGCTAATGCAGGTGGGTGGTGCTTCTTGTACACTGGGTTTAGCACGAAAGTTTTATCAGTTTCTAGTTCAAAAATACAATCATGCATGGATGTTTCATGAATGAACACAAAAACATGGTAAGTAAAAAAAAGTGTAGAGCAATTTACCTTCTCCACGGTGATCCTTCACCAGGAACGGATTGCTCACAGCTTCCTGCACCCGTTCTTCGATGGAACTAGCCCTGGACATCCTCGCGCCAAGCCTGAACTTGCGGCTCCTTATCCAGCTGGAGTTATCCGTGAAGGAGATGTCGCGGATGGAGGCGGTGCCCTTCTCGAGCACGATGATCACCTCGCCGGACAAGAGCGGCCTCTTGCCTTCCCTCTCGAACACGACGCTCTCGCTGAACTCCTTTTCGGTGTGCTCCAGCCGCTCGTCGGCGTTGAAGTCGCCGTCGAGGACGAGGAGCTCGACCTTCATCGAGGACAAGGGCCCGGAGGTGACCGTCTGGTTGGTGGCGGCGTCGGTCAGGACTAGCCGGAGCGGCTGCTTGTTCTCCGCCTCGACCCTGTTGCCTGTGAAAAGCGTCTGCGGCAGGTTTCCCTGGAACTGCAGCTTGTACCGTTTGCTGGTTGTCTTTAGTTGGAGCGGGAGCCTGAACATTGCAGAACAGAAGTTCAGTCATGACTCATAACTTCTGAAAACGAAAAAAAAGGTGCATTGGCAGTGGGGTAAAGTAGAATTAAAAGTAAAAGTTAAAAAGTTAAAGCCTAACACTACACTGACAGCATAATTACTGAAGCAAATAAAAGCAATTATTCGAGGAATCATAGCACCATAATAAGTAACAAATTAGAGAAGGACGTCTCCTACAACAACTAAAACTGTAAACTCCGTACTCGAGTTAAAAAATGCACTCGCGCGAGTTGAAAATAAACAGACGTATACTGCTCTCGCCATTGTCAGCACTAGTGCTCAGTATAAACCCTTGTTAAGTGTATGGCCATATGGAATTATGGAGCATGTAAGCTAGCCTTCCATAGCTCTGAGAAACTAGCTGCTACTAGCATGGCATGTCGCCATGTAGTCCACGAGGACTAGGCAGTCTGAACGTCAAATACTAATGCAGCAGCTTAGCAATTCAGTGTTTAGAGGCTAACCCGTTTGCGGAATCGATGTGTCGGATAAGAACATTATGCACCTCCTCCTGCACCTGATTTCCGAACGCGAATGAACATCAGAATTCTGCCAGATGACACTGCAGGAAGCTCAATGGCGTGCAAATAGCTACGAGGAGAAGTGTTTACGACTCTGCGCAGAAATGGCTCCAGCTTGGGCAGATGCCTCTGCATGTACTGCGCGCCAATGGCCTCCTGCATCGAGCTACTGAAAATGGGCAGGAGGACAGAGGTGAACACAAGCGTCAGAAGCCAAGAACTAGAGCACCCGCGCGGCAAATGCAGCAGCAGCACGGAAAGCTCACTCACTTGACGAACGTCCGGCGGCGCTTGGCGTCGGGGCAGCCGGCGAGCTCCTCTTCGTCGCCGTCCAACACCTCCTCCTCCACGTCCAGCGCTCTCTTCAGGTCCATGGGTGGCCACGTGCAAGCCAACGCGGCGCTCACTAGCTCACTCGAGACCACTTGGCTCACTCAAATTCACCTGAGAGGCTGAGACGGCTTGCACCGTTAGCTTAAAACCGCTGGCAGTGGCAGTGACCGCGGCGGCTATAAATAGCGCGGGGCGCAGGAAAGCAGAGGAAGCAGCGTGGAAGCTTCTTCCAGGGGTGCGGGGGTCGGTCTCGTCACGGACACGCTCCCGGCCGGCAAAAGACCGTAAAGCGGCGCTACCCGCCCGCGCGCGCGCCTCACCGCACCGGAATGACAGAATCCCTAGGCCTTGTATGCCAAAAATTTTAGTAAAATGACACTGTAGCAGTTTTCATTGTTATTTAATAATTAATATCTAATTATAGTCTAATTAGGCTTAAAAGATTCGTTTCGTATATTTCATCTAAACTGTGTAATTAGTTTTATTTTTTATTTATATTTAATGCTTCATACATGCGTTAAAGATTTGATATGACGAGAAATCTTGAAAAATTTTGCAAAATTTTTTTGCAACTAAACTAGACCCTAGAAATGCGATTCGGAGGCGGGCTCGCCCACCCACCGGGGGCGGCGGAGCGAAGGGATAGCTTTCGGCTTTTCCTTCCTCCTCCTCGGCTCCCCCTCTCTTTCAGTGCCGACGTACGCCTGCAGAAAGGGCGCGGGATTTTGTCAGGCCGGAAAGCGGCAAGCGGGGGCGGAGGCGCGGAGCTATCATCAGCTAGCTAGCTGTGTCCGAATGGCCATGGCCATGGCCGTGCCCGTGCGGGAGGGAGTCGACGGGTGTGGGGTTGGGGATGGATTGGGCAGCCGCGGGGCGCATCGGGAGGCGGGCCGCCGTGGTGCGTGGCTGGATTGGAGAAGCTTCCAGGAAGTAGAGGACCGGTGGTCGTGGCCATGGACGGGCTGGGGGCTAGCTGTGGATGGATGGATGCCCTCGACGGGTAGGCTTTTGGAGGCTGAAAGATGGGTACAAAGGAGAGCTTTTCGCCGGGAGAGGTGCTCGGAGCGGGGGACGAAAGGAAGCGCAAAGCGGAGTGGAACAAAGCGGGCAAAACAAGAGGATTCTGCTCCTCTCTCTCCCTCTCCCCCATTGCATTGCATTGAGTTCATGATGAGTTCTCGTGCCTCGTCTTTATATTAGAGAGACGAAAAATGAAATGATAGTGCTTTTTCATTTCCTTTTCATCTTTCTCTGATGGGGTGATCAATTCAGCTGTGAGTGAGCTGCGACTGTGAATGCACATTAACCAACGCCCAGCTATTAATCATGTAGTTCTAGAGAAAAGGTGAAATAATCATCTAACGGTTCTTCAAATGATCAGAGTATCAGACCATTTAATTTCTCCTGATGAAGCTTGGAGTAGTAGCGAATGTTTAGAGAAATCCAACTTATTCTCTTGATGTGCAGATATCTAGACAAGCCTAAAAACACGACAGATAAGTCGATTTCCATTGCCCCCTAATTCCCGAAAAGGGATCCTAGAAAGTGCGAGATCAGGGCATTTGGCGCCCGCCCAGGCGCCCAGGCAGGATAAGCAGCAGATAGCGTTAGCAGAGGCGCTGCTCTGCCGCTGTTCTCTCATTCTCTGGTGGCTCAGGCTCAGCTCTACAATCGCCTTTGCTGGCCCTAGAAAGCAACCTGTTCATGACATCATGGTCATGCTCGTCGGGGCCCCCGGGTTCTCGCCGTGCTATCCCCAAATCTCCCTCGGAAAGCTGGAAGCGGCACACCCCGTCCATGTGAGCAGAAAGAGGCCTTCTTTAGCACACGATGCTGATGCTCTGAGCTCCGCTTTGGCCGTGTGTGCGTCAGTGCGTGCGCGCCCTGTCCTTGTCCCTAGCTCTCTAGCTCGCGCATGGTATCCGAGGCGGCGGCGGCGCTTGGTTATCGTCGGCTAGGGCTGACGAGACGCAGGGCGCTTGGTTCTTTAGCACACGATGCTGATGCCCCTGACGCTCCCGGTAGCTCGGATGGAGTCTTGGAGATGTGGGAACTTTTCTTTTGTCAATGGGGAAGTAAGATTTTAATTTTTCATATTTTTGTTCGGCACCCGTACATGAACTCCACGCGCCTAATTCCACCATTCCGTCCCTAAATGATCTTGGAATTGAATTTATTTTAATAGTCATAGTTTACTAATTAGACACATATTAATTAAGCTAATGCGGTCGTGTATGGAATATATTTGTATATTATTGTGGGCGATATGAGAGAGATACTTATGTGTTGCATTGATACCGTAGGAGAACGAGTTAAAAAGCGTGTTATAAATTGCAAAGTAGAATTAATTTCTATTCCCCACCATATGAATTTGAAATATGCTTATATATGAACTTTGGAAAGTTGTAGAACGTAAGTTCCAAGCCAAATAGGCTAGTCTATTAAATAGATTCCAATTTCTCCCAAAATGAAAGGATCCCATACTTGAATTAAGTTATAGAAAATATGTTAACACCTACTCCCTCCTTAAATTATAGCCTTTCTAGTGACATAGCTTTTACTCTACACAGTAAGACTACGTATAATTAAACTGATCTATACTTTAGAACGGATGAAATATATGCTTAAATATGTTTCATGGTTTCATAGAAAAAATATTGAAAAACTTTGATTTAGAACAAAGTAGTACAATAATTTAGAATAGACAAAGTATTTCACTGGCCGCTACAGGCTACATTGAATGCCAATGCCCTCACCCTCAGGCCCTGACACACAAAATATATATATATAATTTGAATAGTTCATGCTGTGAACAGTAATTATAGTTCTCTTTAGGGTCAAAGGCAAAGCTCCTCTGTGCTTTGCACTTCTTTTGAAACGAAATCAGCGTGGTGCGTCAGTGCTATGGCACACATGCGACAGGGAACTAGAAAGGTCATGAGGTGACGCCCAGTGGGCGGTGACTGATACACAGATTTCTCGAAGACAATGCTTGCGCTCTGCAATTTGACTTCACAGAAAGGAATGCTAAGAAATCATCAGACTGGGGTCTCGCTGCCAGTTGCAGATTCATTCAGTCACACAGGACTACAGGACAGGAGGAACAGAAGGATCCGGCACGGCATCACAACTGGAGAAAATTCCGGGAGAAAAAATCACAATATTATGGCCCAGTCCGATAGCATACAAAGCCTTATTATTTTGTCACTACACATCATACACGGCCAATATGGCCCATCTTATTTTGTCAGCGAACTTGATATCACTGCCCGTTTGGCCCATCAATACCAAGCCATAATTGGCCCATCAACCCAGACCCATAATTGGCCCATCACTTGGCATTAGCCGTATTACTACTTTATTAAACTAATAACATGATCTTAATAACTAATGCATGCAGCATGCTGTACTTTATTTAGCTAACTGATAGTATGAATGACAGATGAAGCAGCTCCCAAACTTAACAAGCACAGGAGGGGAGAAGAGGCATTGTGTTTACGCGGCGGCAGTAGCAGGCGGACGGTCGCCGGTGGCCTAGCAGGACTCGGCAGTGGGCGCCGTGGAGTGGCGGAAGTGGCAGCGGTGGCCGTAGGGGCAGCCAGAGGCGGCGGCGAACAACTGGCACGGGAGGGTCTTGTAGCGCGGGTGGCGGATCACGGGGCGCAGCTCCTCCATGCCGTGCGCGAACCTGCAACGCCCGTCGTAGGGGCACGCGCCGCGCTCCCACTTGTTGCAGAGCTCCGTCTTCACGGCGCCCTGCCGGAACGCCTCCACCTCCACCTCCCCGTCATCCTTCTCCTTCTCCCCTGCGTCCTGCGATTGCCATTTCCATTGACATCACGAGGTCAAAAGTCAAATACAGAATCTGAGTAAACTAATTAATCCAGTTTACATCTGGTTTGCCGTATTACGTCAAATCGATGCCTCATCGAATCAAGTATCAGCTATCACAGCAACTGCTAATCAGTTTCTAACCTAAATGCAAATGTTGTGAACTGTCTAATCCAAAGCACATACTCTTACATTCTAATAGAAGAATTTAACTGAAGCTGCTGCTTCTTCAGATTGACTAAACTAAAGCAAACCATAACTTCGCCATAACTTTTGTGCTTTCCTTCAATTAAAGCTGGCCATCCTAAAATCTATTTGCAGCATAACCAGATGCATAACACGAGTAAAAGTTTCGAGCTGTAATTTTGACTTTCAGTTGCTTAACCATAAGATGCGTTCTTACGAATTTGAAGTACACAATTCTTAATTAAACCAATTCAGCATAGCCTGAATGCCTGATAACTCATTCATTGTAAATGCTAGCTAATGCCAACAACAAATTGCCATCCTCGTGTGATTTTGCAAGCTTAGTGTTAAGTTTTTCACCATTCTAATTGTAGCGAACACCAAATTCTTCCCGACTATTACCAATTTCAGGAATCAGTGCGCTCTTCTGTGTAAATTTCCTTCGAGGTGAACAGGCAAGAGTATGTGCGGTGTGAAATTGAAGGTACTGAACAGTAAGAATTGGGGGCTCACCTCCATCGCCTGAGACGCGCGAACACGGAGGCGCTGTGGTGTGGCCACGCCCTGCGGCTGCTTCTTCGAGAGGAAGCCCTTCGAACGTATGGAGATGCTCTTCGGGGTGCTTGGAGCTTCAGCCTGCGTTGGCTTCGGCGGCGGAATCAGAGCCACCGCTGACGCCTGCTTACTCTGCTCAGCGGCATCGAGCTCTTCGAGGAGGAGGGAGAGGTGCAGGTTCTCGGCGCGGAGGCGGACGCGCTCGAGGCGGAGGTCGGCGAGCTCGGCTGTAGTGTCTCGAAGGCGGAGGAAGCAGTTCTCGTAGCGCTCGGTGATCGCGCGCAGGAGAGACTCCGCCTTCTTCACCTGCTCACTGTCCCGCTCCTTCGAGATCCTGGGTGAAGAGCTGTTTCCGCAACCGCGACTGTCTGAGACGGACGATGAGGGCGAGTTGAGAAGCGGCTCCAGCGGCGACGCCTTCTTCGTCGTGCTGAACCCGGAGGCGTTGCCACCGCCACGGCTGTCGGAGATGGACGATGAGGGCGAGTTGAGAAGTGTCTCCAGCGGCAACGCCATCTTCGCCGTGGCGAACACGGAGCCAGTGTCACTGCCACGGCTGTCGGTGACGCACGATGACGATGAGGGCGAGTTGAGCAGTGTCTCCAGAGGCGATGCCTGCTTGGGCGTGCTGAACATGGAGCCATTGCCAGCGCCACGGCAGTCGGAGACGCGCGTTGAGGGCGAGTTGAACAACGTCTCCAGCGTTGACCCCCATGTCAGCGAGCTGAGCCCGGAGCCGTTGCCACCGACATGTCTATCGGGGACGCACGATGAGGGCGCGTTGAACAGCGTCTCCAGCGGCGATCCCCATGTCGGCGAGCTGAAGCCCGAGCGGCCGTTTCCGCCGCCACGGCCGTCGGAGACGCACGATGAGGGCGACGAGTCGCGCAGCGTCCCCAGCTGCGATGCCCATGTCGGCGAGCCGAAGCCGTCGAAGGAGAGGCGGGACGGCCTCAGTGGCGAGAAGAACGCCAGCTCCCCCTCCATCACCTCCATTCGCGCTCGAACACCCAAGCCACGAAGCAATAGCAACGGAGCGATGAAGCTAGGGTTCGAATCGTAAGGAAGACGGTGAGGTCGTGGCGGTTACCCTGTCGCCGTTGGCCTGGGAAACTGGAGGGAAGAGTGGTCGGTTGGGGTTTGACTGACCCCGGCTTATATAGAGGCCCGTTGCCGACCAAAACAGAGGGCAGAATTGACTTGTTTCTCCAGGTTAATGAAACGGAGCCTCCTACAAAACAAGACAAGAGTTTGTTCACAGTTAATAACTGGATCTTTCGCAAAATAATAATAGCTGAAACAACATTTCCGGTAAAAAGAAACATTGAGAAACCACAGGTTGGGTCTGACTGTCTGAGACATGTACAAGACAGGGGAGTGGAGGAAAAAATGCATTCGTGGAATGGTCTTTATTGCCGTGCATAGACACATAGTAATAGTGAAAGCCTGACATTGCAGTACATCCCACAGAAAATGTCAAGAACATTACATTTCTTGGTTGAGCAGCACACAGAAGTTTGTAGTCAGGTAAAGATATGTTGAATTGATGATTTAGTAATGTATACAAGCCTACAAGGGCAGAGTATCAGTAATACGGATTACTGTACTACTGATGTATCAGTGACAATCAGGCTGGCTTTATTAGGTTGTTAGAAAGAACATCGAAGAAATCAAGGCTGGGATCTCCAAATAACATCTCTGTAAATAATACAACAACAATGGAATAATTTAGTGCTTCAGGCGATCTTCCCGGTGAGACAGATACAGTTACTTTTCAGGACGAGTCGCTGGAAGATCTGATGCTCGGAAAGACTTCTCGAGCAGCAGAGGAACAGTTAGTTTCAGCTCAAAGGTCAATTTCTGAAGCACATAACAGAGGGTTGTCACATCCTGCATGGCACGATGCGCGCTCCCTGTGAGTGAAATTTTGTAGCGTTCTCTCAGGTTCTTCAATGACACAGAACTGAGTTTTGACCCTGCAAACCAAATATGAATAGGAGGTTTAAAATGCATCTTACTTCATCCCACAAACACTTAATCACGAAATTGTAATGCTATAGGCAGAAACAGCTAAATGACAAAACAAAGTTTAGCTTGCTAGTTCATCAACAACAACGGTGCACAGTACATTGCTGTATTTCATCAATTTATTTTACTGGAAAACAAAAGCTCTTCAGAACAATATGTCTATGCAAGGAAATGGAAAACTTACAAGAGAGCATACCATTAGAATCGACCAATTGTCTTGCGATAGGAAGAGTATCTACAAAGAGCCAATCACCAGGCATCTCTACTTTACACCGTCGGAGCTCAAAGATGAGAAAGGGTACGTCAAAGGAACGCCCATTATGAGCAACCCACATAACTGGTTTGCCGTCCATTTGACGACTCCACACATATTGTAGCAGAATGGGAATAAGCTCTCCAAATCTGCATAGCCATACATGAGACCACCATGATTATAAAAACAAATGCGTAAAAAATAATAAAGGGTAATCATGTTTCAAATGAATTGTAGTTCAGAAATTAAGTTTAACTATAATTTGTAACCTTTATATGTTAAAAAATATAATAAGTCGCAAATTGCCTCTAGGAAGTAACATATGGGAGATTGATCCTAGTACATAGTTCTTTCTTCACATGACTGCATTTTCAGAACATAATACTGCCTTGTTCCCTCATCTCATGGTTATAAAGTAGTGATATTTGAGCATGTTAGCAAGCAATGAAAAACAAAAACAAAGGATACATGGGATAGAGAAAGTGATCCTCAATTTCCCCTATTTTAGTGTTCAACAGGGAACTTCAAATCACGCCTTACTGCTAGTAAACTAAGAATGACACTTGGCATATTTGGCATAACAAAGCATGAACATACCTTGGAACATCAGGTCTGCAGAGCATGCTGTTGCTAATACCATGAACATATGAATTTCTCACCTCTTGCTCGGGATTTATGAGTGTCTGGAAAGTGCTATTCTTTCCCCCCATAAGATCACGAACAGCAAACTCAATAATTCTGTCACCACGACGTGAGAAGCCTGTAGTTTCAATATCAAAAACAAGGATAGTTGCAGGCCATTCGGTCTTGACCCCAGAAAACTCTTCCTCAACATTGTAGCAATTAAGTGATTTAAGCTGCTCAAGCTCTGACTGCTTGAACACTTCAATTGATGATTCAACCGATTTACCGTGCAAATGACGGCTATTGCTAAATGACTGCTTACTTCCTTTTCTTGTGCTTCTTGCTAGCACTGTTGTACTAAGAGGTCTACTTTGATGTCTTCTGCTTGAGAGGAAAGTTTCATATATTAATCTGCTATGGTATTTAAGCCACCTGATACTGCAAGTGTCTCCTATAGAGTTCCTTAGTAGATGGAAGTTCCCACAGCAAATGGAAGACAAGGACATTGCAGAAACAGAATGAATGGGGCATCAAAGGTATTGCTACTCCTATTTTTCAGTAGCTAGTTTTCACTGAATATTGGATAACCCTTCAGCATTAATCCTGAAATGATAAGCAAAACATAGTTTTTATCAGAAAATTAAACTGATCCAGGATCAGAAATGAAATAAATGTTATCATCGCGCACCACATATCATATCATGTCGACACAAGTAATCATCGAAACAAGCCCAAAACAAGACAGCAAAGCAGCTTCAATATCATGCATATGAAAACATAAGGGTACTGAATGAATCATAAAACACAAACCCAACATAGAGATTTTGATCTTTCTCATTAAACACGTGCATTGCTTCAGAGTGTACAATACACATGCATGTGTCTGTCATCTAGCCCTTCTTTCCTTGGTTCCCTGTGATGTGCCAAAGAGCTAAACTAGTAACCAAATGTCCAAATGTTTCATTCTCATAGGAATTATATTTTTTTCATTGCTATGCAGCAGCAGAACCAGCACCAAATTCTCGAGATGGAGAAAGTAATTAGATCTTCTGTATCCCCTAGGAACTGCTCGTTTAGCTGGATCACATCTGTATTGCTCCAGGAAAGGCCTACCAGTAATCCTTGCAGGAGCAGCATCCGCTTTCAAACCGGTGAAACCGAATTCTATCCCTCATAATAATAACACGACAAAGTACCTTTGAGATTATCTTCATCCATTCATGACAGTCACTGCAAATCTGCAAATTCTTTGAAACCATTATTTCTGTCCCTGGACCAGTCTTCAGGACACTATAAGCCACTGCTAGCTTCTCACTATGGAAGGTAAGGTTTTCTTCTCTTTCCTCCTCCGAGACATCTTTTGTTACTAGTTCAGTCAATGGAGCATAACCTTCAACCTTAGCTCTTTTACATAATCCATGCAGCACTAGGTATATATCCTCGGTGTCTGGATGAGATCTATCACCAGCTTTAAATTCATGGGTGCTTCCCCCTAACTCAACCCAACTCAAGCCTTTGCTCTTCCTAATTTTCTTTTGTTTCCTCTGTTTCCATACTTCCTCTGAATCATTCCATCTATTTGCTGATGAATAGATGTTTGAAAGAAGGGTATAATCCCCACTGCCATGGCATGCCATATGCTCAATAGTGACCTCACCTAATTTTGTTTGGCAATATCTGCGACAGGCACTAAGTAATGCCCTCCATATCACAACATCAGGCTTTACATTCATCGACATTACCAACTTGTATGCCTCATCCAGCAACCCAGCTCGCGACAACGTATCCACCAATGCACCGTAGTGCTCAACCTCTGGCGTGATAGAATACTCTGTAGTCATTGATCTGAAGTATTGGCGAGCCTCTTCAACCATGCCACAGTGGCTGCAGGCTGTCAAGAGTGCAACAAATGTAACCCCGTCAGGAACCAGCTCTTCACTTTTCATCTTGTCGAACAAAATCATTACATCGGATCCAAGACCATGCGATGCCAAGCCACTAATCATTGCATTCCAGACAAAAATATGGTTTCTCTTGACTTTATTGAATATCTCAGTTGCCACTTCAATTCTTCCACATTTGGCATACATGTCAACAAGTGCTGAAGTTAAGATATGATTCATTTCCACCCCCAGTTCAGTCATCAGGTGATGCACCCACACTCCATACCGGCGAGCACCAGCTCGAGCACATGCTAACAGAACTGAGGAGAATGAGAAGCAATCAGGCACAAGGCCTGAACAGACCAACCTGCTAAAAAGATTCATTGCTTCTTTCAGGTGCGAGCTCCTTACTGCACCGGCAATCATTGAATTCCAAGAGACCAAGTCCTTGACAGGCATCCTCTTGAAAATCTGATACGCCTTATCTAGCTGTCTGCTCTTCAAGAATCCCATAAGCATCAGATTGCCATGGAAGGGATCGGTGCTCCACTCCAGCATTGACCAAAATAGTTCACGTGCTTCCAACATGTGATCATGGGCAATATATAACTTGAACAGAGGAGGTGTTATATGCTGATTAGATAGCAACCCAACTTTAGTGAGATGACAATGGATTTCCATGGCAGCATAGAGGTCTGAGCATTTTGCACAAGCTCTGAGAAGGAGAGTATAAGTTCTGTAATCAGGGCAGAAAGCAGTGAAATGGAGCAAAGTGCTATAGTCCATAAGTGACTTTTGTGGGGAGCCTTTCTCTAAAGAAGCTCTGAGGATGGAATTGCCATATCGAAAGAAGATTCTGCAGGGATGTTTCTTCAAACAGTTCGTGTAAGACATATTGCAAACAAGCTTCTGAAAGCGAGTTCACAAGAATGAAGGAAAAAAACGCCAGGCAGCTAGTTTTTAAAGTCTTCCTGCGACCTAATTTATCCAGAATGAAGTTGGACAACACCTTAAATCACATAGTAGCAACTAAGGTAATCAGGCAACATGAACTCTATGCTCGTTGACTATCCTGAAATGAACGAATAAAATGGCCATCAATTCTTGTGCACGAATTTATTAAAAACACAAAGTAAGTATTAACAGTATTGCACATGGAGCAGCCACATTTTCCTGGTAACCTAATTATCATCTTTGTAATAATGAAACTCATGACGGTTGTTTATTATGATACTATTTAAGTCAAGCAGATACATTCGACAGTAAATAACAATGCTCGACCATCCAAGTCATTTCACACCTAGTCCTTGTCTTGCTCCTCTACACTCGTACGGTCGTACCATAATTCATACCTTACACGTTACAGTTCTATAGCAATCAGATGCTCAACAACTCACCAATTTGCAGGGCATGATACAGAAATCCATGTGGCCCGATAGAACTAGGGGCAAATATAGCAAGCATCCATTGAACTATCTAAACAGCATATACACATTCATACATAAAAAACATCAACGGAAACCAACTAAAAACTACCAAATCTGACTACAAGAAAAACTCAACGGCAGTCACAGCGGTGAATTCAAGGTGTTCGACGAAATGCCCCCACCGAAAAACAACCAAACAGTGCATCAATGGGTGTCCCAGCAAAGATTAAAGCAGGTACCTGCGAAGCAGCCGAGGCGACCAAGATCCAAGACGGGCGAAAGAGCGCAGAGAAACCGGGAAATTAAGCGGCAGGGACGCACTAATACAGGGTGGGGTGGGGAAGAAGCAAGGGACGCTACGGAAGGGATATTCCTTGCGGGGATGCCAAGGCGAGGGAGGGGGGAGGGAGCGAGCGAGAGAGGCGTGGAGGAGAGGCGCGACGGGTGTGGCGAGCGGAGAGGGAGGAGGAGTGGGGGTTCGGGAACCGGAGGCCGGGCGGGGCGGGGGCGGAGGGCGGGCGCCCGTTGTTAGCGGATCAACCGCGCCGCCGGCGTGGGGCGTGGGGCGTGGGGGTGATGTGTTTCTGCAAGTGGCACGTGCTTCCGCCGTAATTAGGGAAGCGCTCGCTTTGAAACGGTTGGTTGGTTTGGCTGCGGGCTGCGGGCTGCGGGCTGCGGCCGTGTGCCTGCCAGGCCATTTGCTCCAGAAGATCTGGGCCTACCGGGCTGTGTTTCGGTGTGAAATGGGGATAGCACCATAGCAGTGTGGGTGGGCTTAAGGGAGTAGAACTGCGTTGGACTTGGGCCCTTGATAGAGCTGAGATGAGAGGCCCGGTTTGTATACCTCAACTTCTTCAAAGGTAAACTTTGCACTTTATCTTTTTCGTGAGGGCAAATGAGGAACAAATCAATTGCCAGGCATAGTCACGGTCACGGAGTTGGCGGCGGAGACCTATTCCTCACCACAAATCGAATGGTGAATTGGTGATGTACAGCCAATCTTAGGTTGCGTCAGTGCAAGCAGTCCGGCGCAAGTCGTAGGAAAAGGGAGGTTCATATTTTGCATTTCCTCTGCAGAAGCAGTCTGCAGTCTGCACTTTTGATGAGAAGTCAACTGAATGATGATGTTTACACCAAAGAGCTGTACAGCAATAATAGCACAGGGGTAGGTAACATGATGCTCTATTGCTCGGCACGAATTCATGCATGACGTGCATACGGAGTATATATATTTTATCCAAAAACTTTATCTTTTCTTTTTGTTGTAAATCTCTATTCAGCATGGAAGCATGTTAGTACCTGCATCCAAGCATATAAGAGTACTTTGCATGGATATCCTGTCATCATTCTTTGGTGTACGGCTCTTAATTCTCAAATGGAGGAATGAAAGCCACGTATAATCTCCGCAAGGGACGGCCCTTTAGTCCCAAAAGGATCTGAATATTTTACAGCCTGATGGATCTGAGTATTTTAAAACCTGATGACCGGTAAGAACGTGGTGCTATGTAACACGCGCTCTCACACGATATGATTATTCTGCAGGTTTGAACACTTCCGCTTTCCTTGTCACCAACAGCTCTTTTCTCTGCATAATAAAATCCATAAGTAATATGCCCGTTCGTTTGGTGATAATCCATAGCTGAAAGCACCGTTGACTAATTTGTTGTGAGAGAAAAATATTATTCGTTGGCTGAAAATGTACGGCTTATAAGCCAAGTGAATAGGACGATACTATGGCCATGTTCGCTTATCTTATAATCCGTACTTTTCAGCTTGTTTTTTTAGCCGTAACATTGTTTTTCTCTCATAAAAAATCAGCCGGAACAGTATTTTAGCTTGTTTTTTCAGCGAAACGAACAAGCCCATATGTTCTTCTAGAAATACTGTTATGCTGACTTTTGTATTGCAAGCTTCCATTACCATCGTGACGAGTTTACCATAACAGCGTTTCTGACTGGTTGTAGTCAATGTTGTCTCAGGCACGAAGTGGACACCATATGTTACGTGCGCTGATGATATACGCTGCGTCTTGAATGGACTCAAACTGCGTATGACGTCGTCGGACCAGGAGGAAAAAACCAGTGAGCAAACGAACTTTTTTTTTTTTTGCCCCGTTCGTTTGTGTTACGAGCCGTACTGTTTCAACGAAGAAACAGTGTTTTTTCTCTTACAACAAATCAGCGGACAATACTTGTAATCATAGCTTTTCAGCGAAGCGAACATGGCCTTTGATCCGATCAAAGGGTCTCGTTCACATTGGTTGGTTAAAAACTTAGTCTTTGGTTTTTGTGAGAGAAAAACTTTGTTGTTGGTAATTTGTTGAGTTTCGTATTTATTTTGAAACCAACAAGCGAACAGGCTGTCCAACCGAGTCGAACAGGAGACGCAACTACCAGCTGCAAGTTGCTTTCGAGAAGGCAAAGCTAAAGGATCCATTGGTGTTTCAGCTTTTGGCCTAAGAAGCGAACGTTGCAACTTGCGGTGAGTTTGAAATGGAGGCTGCTGGCTGGTGACCCTGTTGTACCTGTAGGCTGTAGTGGACCCCTTAACGAACAACTGTCCGCCAAAGATCTTTCGAAATTTGAATGGAAGAAACATACAAGGTCTTAATTCATATCAGTTTAATACTATCTTGATCTGAGAAGCATCCAATGCTCATCCGCACGCATGCAACAGTCATATCTGAGACCGGTACCCTCTGCCGAGAGTTTGTGCTAGTACTACAACAGACTCAACTGATACATCCTGACAATCTCAAAAAAAAAAAAAAAAAAAAACTGATACATCCTGACAGAGGCATCAAAACGCCATCAGATGGTGTCAAAGGCGGTGGCGCGTGGGGGGGGGCTCGGCACTCGACTCAGACTCGTACCTCCGCTCCGTGGTAAAACACGACGGGGTTATGCCCCATCGTCGCTCAACACTCGCGCTGGTTTTGCCCCCAGGCTCGTGGCTTAGAGAAGAGGCGGGGAGATTAGATTGAATGATTCTTGCTTAATCTCTCCATGAGCTGTTACAGAATATATGGCCTCCGGCCCAACCACTCTTCCTAAACTTAAGGACTGCCAAAGGAAAATAACAAAACAAGGAAATAACCAATTACTCTCTTCCTTCTAATCTTAGCCACTTGACGTGATCTCCTTTTCAGCGTCTTTGCTTTCGATCGGTATTTGGCGCACATCGCGTGCCTGCGATGCAGCGATGTCACGTGTGCGCGTACATTACATCTCTCCCCTCCTCAAGAGGCAGCTCGTCCTCGAGCTGAAATTGGGGTATCGGGTGCGGAGCGACTCGACATCCTCCGAGTTTCAAGTGGCGACGCCTTCCATCGAACGAGGACTGGCGCACTCCAGCGCCAAAGCGTGACTTGACAGCCCGCTCCGGCTCTAGAACGATCGCGCCATGGCGAACACGGGAGGGGGAGGGCTGGTGGTTCCGGCGGTGGGTTGCCATGGAATTTCTTGAGCGAGCCCAACGTGGAAGACATCGTGGAGGCGAGCTTGAGGAGGCAGGGCGAAAGCGGATCGCGACGTCGTTGATGAGCTCGACGACGCGGTATGGCCCAGAGAAGCGAGGCTTGAGCTTTCACCGATGCTTGGGGCATGGATGCTGCGATGGGCACCGACGAAGTCGAAGCAGACCGATCGCCCGGCCTGGTAGGTGACCTCGCGGTGGAGATGGTCGAGTGGCGCTTCAGATGGGCTGAGCACGCTTTCGAGCCGGTGCCGAATGTCCTCCAGGAACTCCTTGCGTTCCTCCAGCGTGTGGGCCACCGCCGGCACTCGAGTCACCATGCGCGCGAGGTGCGCAGGATGGTGGATCGCGACCGTAGACGACGCGGCGAACGGCGTGTCGTCGCGCAACGACGCAGCGGAAGGCGGTGTTGAAGACGACTCTCGCCCATGGAAGCCGGTGAGCCGGTCGCGTGGGCGATCACCGTCAAGCATCGAAGGTACATGATGATGACTTTGTTAGCGGACTCCGATTGCCCATCCGATTGCGGGTGGAAAGCCGTCGTCATCCGCAGCTTGGTCGCCACTCAAGCGCATCATTTCCCCGAAATTGGAAGTGAACACGAGTCGCGGTCGGAGACGATGGATCATGAATGCCGTCTGGTACCAACGATTTCGGAGAAGAAGGATCGGGCCACGATCTCCGCCGAAAGTACTGGTGCGTGCGGGTATAAAGTCGCGCGTACTTGTTTAAACGGTCCACCACCGTCAAGATGATGACTTACCCGTCACGGCGGCTTCCGACGAAGTCCATGGCGATATCCGACCAAACACCCCGTGGCACCGGGAGCAGCAGCAGAGTCCCGGCCGGTGGAGATGTTCCGGCTTATTCTTGGCGCCGGGCACACCGTACACGCACGAACAAGGTCCCGCACCACACGTTTCATGTTAGGAAAGTGGAAGTCACGGCGAGTCGGTGCGGCGTCTCTTGCTGGGACGCCCTCATGGCCCTCCTCATGGACCGCCCGCGCAGCACCTCCCGCGGCCCGGGCGGTGAGTCGGCAGCAGTATGACCGTCGTCCGCCGTGTAGTGGACCAACCCGTCGGTGAAGGCCTGTCTGCGACTTGGAGCCATGGTGATGGCGTCTGGAGGGCAACCAGCTCCGGTCGGATGCATGAGCTTGGCGAAGGCGGTCGAGAAGTCGAAGCTTGGTCCGGACAAAGAAGATCACCGAGCCCGCCTCCCGAGTATCGCGGCATGACAGGCGTCTGCCACGGCATTTGTATGCTTGGCGGCTTATACGCATATGATGAAGTCGAAACCGAGGAGTTTCCGACCCAATGGTGTTGCGGGATCGTGAATGACCTCGATCCAACAAGTACTTGAGGCTGTAATGATCTGTCTTGACCTCGAAGCGCCGCCCCAAAGGTAGGGCCTCGATGGCGCCACGGCACGGACGAGGCCGATCGATTCAGGCTTCAGACGCCGCGAGAGCTTCGGTCTGCCGGGAGCCACGTTTGCGGTGAAGAAGGCCACTGGGTGGCTGTCTGGACCAGACCGCTCAAGCCATGCGCGAGGACGCGTCGCACTCTCACGACGAATGTCTTGGAGAAGTCCGGCATGGCGAGCACCGGGCCGAGGTGACCGCCGCTTTAGCGCGGTGAACGCAGCAGCCGCCGCCTCGGCGACTAAGCGAACCCGTCCTTCTTGAGCGGGCGGTGAGAGGCGCGGCGATGGTGCCGTAGTTGTGCACGAACTTCCGGTAGTACCCGGCAAGTCCTCGAGAAAGCGACGCGCGCGCTGGAATTCGCCGCCGATCCCGCATGACCGCACCTTTTGCCGGATCCATGGCGACGCCCGCGGCCGACACCACGTGGCCGAGGTACGCGACAGAAGACGCCGCGAACGCGCATTTGGAGCGCTTCACGAAGAGCTGGTGCTGCTGGAGCGCCCCGAAGACGGCGCGCAGGTGGCGTAGGTGATCCGCCCATGTACTGCTATAATCAGAATGTCATCAAAAAACACAAGCACAAAGCGGCGGAGGAAGGTCCGGCGGGCGTCATTCATCAAAGCTTGAACGAAGGGGCGTTGCATTAGCCCGAACGCCATGACCAAGAACTCGTACAGGCCGTCATGAGTCCTGAACGCCGTCTTGTGTATGTCAGCCGGACGCATGCGGACTTGGTGATACCCTGAACGCAGATCGAGCTTGGTGAAGAAGCACGCCCCATAGAGCTAAATCCAGCTACGTCGTCGACGACGATGGGATGGGAACGCGTCCTTGACGGTGAGGGCGTTGAGCGCCCGTGAGTCGACGCAAAACGCCACGACCCGTCCGGTTTCTTGACGAGGAGGACCGGGGACGAGAAGCGGAATCGCTGCGCCGCGCCGCACGATGCCTGCTTTCGATCATCGCGGCGCATTGCCGCTCAATTCATCCTTGTGGGCATTGGTACCAGACTGTCGGACGGGCCACCGGCAGCGGCCGCCCGTCTTGAGGGCGATCGCGTTGTGGTCACGCAGGCGCGTGGCGGCGGTGGCAGCCGGTGGGCTCGGCGAAGAGGCCTCCGAGCGTGGTCGCAGCTCCTCCGGCAAAGGCTGCCGGCGCCGTGATGTTGGAGAGCGCGCGGTGCATTGTCGCGCCACGCCCTCCCGGCAGAGATAGTGCGCGCCATGGCGTAAAAGGCCACAAAGCGCGCGTGGTCAAGTCCCACACCATCTTGCCCGCGGTGACCATCCATTGGGTCCCGAGGACGACGTCGAGCCGGCCGTGCGGCATCACGTAGAGGTCGACGAAGTTCTCGCCGACAATGGCGATCGAGGCTGGCGGAGGACGCCGGACATGCGGCGCGTTCGCCATTGGCCACGGTGGCGGTGAGTCGTGAAATTTGGATGAACGGCGAGCCTGTGCGCGCCGAGCGCTCTCGCGATGAAGTTGCGCGTGGAGCGGTGTCAGCCAGAGGCGATGAGCGCCACCGCGCTTAATCGCCACGCCGCACACCGCATGGAGTCACAAATGGGCATACCAAACCACTGCGCTGAAGGGAGAAACAATGGTGCGGCGCGAGGTCGGCATCGGCGGCCGCTGAGCCGCGTCCTCCAATCGATGCCGTCAATGTAGAAGATGCGGCGGCACACCCGATTGTGTCCTCGTGAGTATGGCTCGTTACGGTTGTAACACGTGCCAAGGCGACGTCGCTCGCTTGTTCCTCCGTGGAGAGCCGCTTAGATGGCCCAGGCCGCCATGTGGGTGGAGGCGCGGAAAGGCCATTACCGCTGCCTTGGCTACTGGAGGGCCGGCACCGGAGCACCCTCGGGAGGGCGGCGGCCGGCGGCCGGCAAGAATGGGTCGCGGAGGCTGGCGGGCAGATCGCCCATGAGCCGCCCGAGGAGGCGATTAATTTGGCCGGTCGATTCGATCAGCTCAACGTCTGGCGGACTCATGGCGCATGGCCAAGGTTTCCGTGGCGTGGATGCGCACTGATGGCTCGGCCGGAGGCAAAGACAAACCCGCGGTGTCTGTTACCTGACACGCTGGCTTTCCTCCAATCGACCGGCCAGCGGAAGAAGAGCACAGAAGCGGTTGGAGTATTCCTCCACCGATCCGGTGCGTCGGCACTCCGTGAGCTCTCGCAAGCAATGGCGCGCGGATCGCAGCGCCGGCCGAACCGAAGATTGAGGAGTTCTTGAAGCGACCCCACGGCGGCGTGCCTTCATCCTCCTGGAGTTGGAGAAACCACAATTGGGCCACGTCCTCCAGGTTGTACGATGCCATCCACACCTTCTCCTCCGGCATGTGTGCGGCTGGCGACGGAAATAAGACTCACACCGATTCGGGAAGATCGATGGGTCGGACTTGCCGTCGAATCACGGAAAGTCCATCTTCTGGAATCGCGGAGGGCGATCCGGTGGTTGCTGGTCGTGGGAGTGGACGCTGGAGTCGGCGGAAGAGCCGATCTTCGCCTGCATGGTCGCCATGTCGTTTTGTATCTTGGACATATCGGTGGTGAGTGTTCGAGCAAGCATCATCACGTCGGCCATGGAGGGCTGATTGATCGCCATGGTCGGGCGCCAAGAGGTGGTCGTGGACGGGAAGGAGTAGATGGTGGCGGGTGATGGGGTGGGTCTTGTGGTATTTGTGGAGGATTGGTTGGATGTGGTGGGAGAGGATCGACGAGACCGAGATACCAGTTAGTTGTCAAAGGCGGTATGCGGCAGGACGCCTTGGGGCCTCGACTACGGAGCTCGTACCTCCGCTCCGTGGTAAACACGACGGGTTATGCCCCCATCGTCGCTCAACACTCATGGGTTTTGCCCCTGTGCTCGTGGCTTAGAGAAGAGGCGGGAGATTAGATTGAATGATTCTTGCTTAATCTCTCCATGAGCTGATTCTGAGAATATATGGCCTCCGCCCAACCACTCTTCCTAAACTTAAGGACTGCCAAAGGAAAATAACAAAACAAGGAAATAACCAATTACTCTCTTCCTTCTAATCTTAGCCACTTGACGTGATCTCCTCTTGACTCAAAGCGTCTTTGCTTTCGATCAGCAGCCTTGGCGCTTTGACATCGCGTGCCCTGCGATGCCGCGTGTACGTGTGCCCGTACATTACAGATGGGCAGGCATACGGTTTGATAATCAGTCAATCAAAGTGAAAAGAATGCGCTTGAGGGCCTGTTCGTTTGATCTCAAAATCAAGGGGATTGGAGGGAATTAAATCCCCAACAAGTCAAAATTCACCTCAACCCCTTTGATTTTGGGATCAAACGAACAAGGCATGAATGAATTCACAGAGTAAATTCCGTATGACAGACCAAACATGAGACAACTGGATTAGAGATGTACAGATCACTCATCTGGTGTAAACATGTAAATGTCATCAGAATGAGGAACCAATGTTGCAAACTCGCAACAAATGCTTCCTCACCTGTTTTTCTCACTATCCAAGTATTCATACTGTTTCACAACTGCTGCTTCATCTGACTAACGAATAGCAGCTAAGTAAAATCTACTACAGAAATCACAGAAACAAAAAGGCCTTCTTACAAATGGCATCGACCAAACCACCTGAAAGAATCAAAGAATTGGAGTCCCGTGGATCATTGCTGAAGCAATAGGAAAGCCGAAGCAGCAAGGAACAAGACCAAAGCAAAGCCACTGCTGAGACGGTTGCTGAACCCACTGCTCATTGGAATTCTCTGTGGCAAAGCACATTCGTCGCCATTGAAGAAGACCTTTGTTGGGAAGCCATCTCCAGCAACAACATTTATCCCCGGGGTCAGCTTCTTGGTGAATGAGAGGACTGACTGTTGCTTACCGGGCACAAGGTAGTCGATCCCACTCATGTTGGTCTGCTTCACCAGGTAATTAAGCCCCTCCGAACCCTGCATAAAGATTGTGTTCTTGCCCACTGCGGTGGCGTTGAATGAGTACGCCTTCTCAAAGCCGTCGTACGCCTTGTCCATGACGATGGCAGCAAACCAATTGGCCATGTCGACATCCTCCCAATTAAACAATGTCACCCGAGCGCTCCAGCCCTTGTTGTAGTCCGTCGAGACGTGCCAATTGATGCTCACACCACAGAAGTCACCGCAAGGCATTGGCCGGGGCACATTGTAATGCTTCAGCTCAGCCCACGCCAAAGCCTTCTGTGAGCGGTTGTCGAATGGCACAAGCAGCGCCTCCGGTGGCAGGAGCATGGATTGTGCAGTCGTGCTGCACGTTGGACCTCGCCTGTTTGCAGGGCACCCACAGGCGCAGGTGTTGCAGGGGATCACTGAGTCGTTGTAGTACGCCGAGAAGGTCACACAACACTTGGGCTTGGCCCCCTTTGTTGTGGTAATGTTGCACACCACCTGCCATGTTGCCACAGCAAGCGTCGTTGAGTCAAGACCGCTCGGGTCTGGGAATGCAGTTGGGCTGACAGGCACCGGCTGGCCACAGGTATAGTCTGGGTTCAGCGATGATGCACCGGCGATCTTGAAATTGGCAGGGGGGAACAGCTTAGTCCGGTTCAGGTCTGGTGGCATCTTGAAAACTTGCATCTGGAATGCCGATTTCGACTGTGCCTCGTCCATGGACTTGGGCAAGATTGTTCCATTCCTGCAGCAGTTGTCAATCTTCCCAATCTGGGTGTCATTGTACCGGGACAGGGGCAGGTCAAGGATCACCGGCTTGCGGTCGCAATTGAGCACCTGCGAGAAATCAAGGCTCTGGTAGTACTGCCCAGGCGCCCCATAGATACAGCCCGAGGTGTCCACCTCGGATGGGTGAGCGCCCTTCATGGAGTAGATGAACTCGCCGCGCCGCCACTCCCACGACAGCCGCCAGTTGTCGAGGCGGCCAAGCTTGGCGTTGTTCTCGAGCGTGACGAGCGCAAGGTAGCTGGAGGGGTAAGCCTGGAGCACGTCGTAGGTGATGACGAGGTCGCCGGTGCCGCGCGGCAGGAAATTCTTGGTCGGGTCGGTGGCGTTGGCGTCGATGACAGTGGCGTTGGCCTCGGCCTCCGGCGTGAGGACGCAGCACGTGGACAGCACCTTAGAGGTGAGGTTGGTCGCCGCCGGGCACGCGTAGGCCGGGTCGTCCAGCGACAGCGCGGTGGGGAGCGGATCGAAGCCGGGCCCGGCGAAGAGCGTGCCGACGATGCCGACGGAGGCCTGGATCTGCGACAGGTCCCCGGCGGTGGCGATGGGCGTGAGGAGGTCCGTCTGCGGGTACCCAGAGAAGGAGGTGGCGTTGCCGGCGTCCTCCGTGGTGTTGTACGGCAGATCGCCGCCGCCCGTGAGCACGGCGCCGTCGACGCCGACGAGGATCTCGTCGTAGCCGAATGTGACGAGCGCCGCCCACGACTTGAGCGGGCGGGTGCCGGAGTTGCGCACGGTGACGTTGGCGCGGAAGGCGTAGGGCTGCTTGTTCTTGTCGCTGACGAAGGGCCGGATCTTGGTGCGGTCCCCGAAGTTGTACGTGAGCTCGATGCCGTTGCAGCCGGGGTCGGGCGCGGGGGCCGCCGCCGCCGCCGGCGTCGTCCCCCTCTGCGCCGCCGCGAGCCCCGCGAGCAGTAGGAGACCGAGGACGACCACAGCGTGGGGAGCTACGGAGCCAGCCATCGCTGGATCGGGAGCGCGGGGCGTGGTGGACTGGTGATTGGGGCTGGGCGGAAGCGGGGTGGCGAGGTAGATGAAGCGATCGGAAAGCGCGTGCACAGCTGGGGATGGGAGATGATGAAGGGGAGGGCGGTGGGTTTGAACTGGGGGAGCGGCGGCGTGCGTGCGTAGCTTGCCTGCTGGTGCTGGGCTGCTCGCTACTGCTTCCCAAAAAGAATTGCAGAAAACGATAGGGTTTTGAACAAAAGGGCGTGGAAAGCGACGCCGGCCGGAAAGGAGACGAGACGGCGTCGAGGGAGAGCCGGAGGAGAGGGGGTCCAGTCCAGGGGAGGGAGGAGGAGCGTGGGTTGACGTTGATTGGTGAGGGTCGAGTGGGTCCGGGCCCAGCTGGTAGTAAACGCAGGCACGCAGCGGACGCGTAGAGGTGGCGCCTGGTTGAAACGGTAGGGTTCGGTTCGGGCAGCGGCGCCGCGGGGCGGGCGAGATGCGCGGCAGGCCGTCCGATTCTGGCGTGTACGGCTGCCGATGGGGCTTGTGTCGCCTGTGGAGTGGGGCCCGCGCATGCGCCGTGGAGAGGTTCAGGACGTCCGGACCGTGTGGGCCGCGGCGCATGTTGCAGAGCGCGAAGCAGGGCAGCACGATGTTTCCAGCGAACACGCTTCGATGCACGCGGAATTGGTAAGGAAATCGAGCCATTTTCTGTAAACAAATCGGACGGCCTTTTGCACATGGTCAGTTACCATGTTTCGGAAAAAAGACCATGCCCAGTCCCCGTGCGTGTTTTGTTGGGTGCAGGTAGACAGACGTGCATGCACACGATGCCGCGCTGCTGGTCGCAACTGGCAAGGGCGTATGCCGGTGGCTTAACATACACGAGTTGATCGATTCTACATGGAAATTTAAAAAAAATCGACCCTCGGCCCGGAGCTTTGCGCTTTAAAAAGGAGACCTTTCACGCAGGTCGAGAAAAATCTTCGAATCCCTACCCTGCTCGCACACAGATGCTTGTAACCTTGTGAGTGGACCGATCCGCAACCTGTGCTTTGAGAAACACGAGGCAGATGAGGATTTTTTTTCTTCCTCCGGCCAGCATAAATCGCCCCCGAGGGGGTTCGATCTCTGACCGAAAGGGTGCCGCAGGAGCGCTAGACCAACTAGACTGGCGTCCTTTGACTCTACATGGAAATATTGAAAGACGATTATGTTATCTATGATTTATAGTTTTTACTAGATATATGCTCGTGCGCTGCACGGGAATCACGATATTTTTACGCATGTCTATAATGACGCACGTACAACCTGTTCGCTTGCTCGTAAATGATCGAAAATTTCCAGCCGGGAACAGTGTTTTTCTCTCACACCAAACCAACCAGCAGTAAATAATCCACGATACGATACGGCCTCCGAACATGCTGATAACTTGCTGCTTAGACAAATATATTAAGAAATTCTACGGCGGTGATGAACGCACGTAGCTCGGATGACGCTATGCCATCCGGCAACACGACGGCAATTCGCGGAAGCACATAATCAAATCACGTATCCGGAAGTCATGCATATATGATAGTCAATTTAAAGAAAAATACTTCGAGCTTTCTTTTTAAGGTCACTTCTCCAGAAACTCACGTATTAGTTGAAGTTCTTTTCTCGTGACATTGTCTTTCCATACAGAGAAGCGCCCACTTCTCCAGAAACTCATGGATTATTTGGAGTTCTTTCTCGTGACGTTGTCTCTTTCCATACATAGAAGCTAACGAAGATGTTTGTCGGAGCAGGGGTCTAAGTGCACCAACGGATGATGAGCACACGCGTGCCCGCCTTCACTCCCACACATGCACGTCAACACGATGCTGGTGTAACAGTAGAAACGACTTTTGATCCACTTCGAAATTTAGCTTTAGTGCTGCAGGGGACCTTTAGTCGAGCTACCGACTGGGACTAAATGTTAACTTTTACTCCCGGTTGGTCCCTCCAACCGGAAGTAAATGTCTACTCCCGGCTGGAGGCTCCGTCCGGGATTAGAAAGGGACCTTTAGTCCCGGTTGTTGCCTCTAACAGTTTATGTTGAACGTGGGACTTTCAAAAATTTCCTTGGCAAAAATTTTACTGCCTCCAACAGTTTCTCTCTCCTCTTCTTCATCCTTATCTTCTCAACATCCTCACGCCAGTGCTGCATCTCATCCTCTCTTCAGTCTTCACTCTCTCTCTTCAATCTCCAATCCACCGAATCTCCTTTTTCCAAGCTGTGCGCCATTGTGCGAGCCGAGCTGCGACGACGGCTGCACGCCGGCTTGCGGCGCACCGGCCATGCGACGGTGGCGTCACGCGGGCCTAGGAGCTACGTCTCTAGCGAGTTCGTGGCGCAAGCTCTTGCGGCAGCGACACTCTAGGTGTAGTGGATCTGGCTATTTTCGGTCAGATGATGTGCGCTGTGGTCGCTCTCACAGAGTCCATGCATGCAGCGCTTGTGGCAAGTCAGGAAGACAAAGCCCCGTGGAGCCTTGAAGTCATGCTTGGATAAGTGAGGTGAGTACACCAGTAAAATTTCTAGGCCATGTTTGGTTTCCACCTCCTAAAATTTTTAGGAGCTAAAAGATTTAGGAGCTTTTAGTAGCCATCTAAAACCTCCTAAAAATATGTTTGGTTCCACCTCCTAAAGGTGACTAAAAGCAATAAGTACCGTTGAACAAAGACACTTTTGCCCTTCCTCCTCCTACCCCTGCACCCGCCGCCTCCCGCTCCAGCCGAGGCGGCTCCATGCGTGGCCTTGCGCGCCCTCGCCCCGTCGCACCACCGGCTGCCTGAGCTGAGCTCTGTGGTGAGCACAGACGCTTGGCGCCATGGTGAGGTGGGCTTGAGCTCAACGACGGCGAGCCTTCCCATGAGCTCATGGCGAGATGCCCACAGCGCCACTGGCGAGCACGGGCGCTGAGCTCCACGGTGGCGGCGATCTCGCGCTAGCTCCACCACGTGGCTGCTAAAGAGCTCCGCTGGCGCCGGAGCACCAAGCCAACACAGGAGCGCGAAGTGATTCCAGAGCGCAAGATGCGACGACGGAGGAGGAGCGACCTGCGCCTGCCCGGACAGCAGCGCTCCCGTGGCGCAAGCGGCGACGGTGGAGGAGGAGCGGCCCGCACCTGCCCCGGCACGTGAGGTCACGCAGTGCCTCGGACCTGCCCGGAGCGTAAGGTCACACCGGCGGCGAGCGAGATCCGCCGCGCAAGGTACCATCGGCGGCGAGCGATGTCCACCGAGCGAGAAGACGGCTTCACGCATGAGATCCCAAGTGCCGATGGAAACCATTGCTCTCCTTTAGAACGCGGTTTCGGGTGGTTTTAGGAGGGAGGGAGCGGCGACGGGGTTCGGGAGGGAGCGGGGCGGCGAGGGGGCGGGCCCGTGCGGCGGCAGCGGGGGGAGGGAGGATGGGAGAGAGAGAGGGGGGTAGTGGGGGTCCAGATGGACTTTAAGAGGTTTTAGGAGGGGTGGAGCTATTAAAGTTTTTGACCCCTCCTAAAGTTTTTAGGAGGTTTTAGGAGGAGGTGTTTGGTTCTTTAGGCAAATTCTATCTAGATTTTAGCTCCTAAAACTTTTAGGAGGGGTAACCAAACAGGGCCCTAATCTTGTTGGCCAAAACTTTGAAACTTTGTCAGAGTAATGCATTTCTTCCTTTTATATTCTTGTTGCAGTTGCATGAATGAATGAAACATTTAATGGGAAGAACAAGAAAGACTATTCATTTTTTATGGGGAGATTGGTTAATTCTTTCGCTAATCCTTCTATGCAGATTGGTCAATTCTTTGTGCGGGGGATGCATCAATGGATTCCGGCTGCAGCGATGAGCTCGCAACCCACAGTGTGTTTGCTAGTAGTTGTTCGCATGGCCAGCGACGGTTTTTGAAAGTCCCGGTTGGTAATACCAAAACGAATCATCAATTGAAAATAGAAACAAAAAAAAGAAAAAGAAAGAAAACCCGGGACTAAAGAGCCGTCCCACGTGGCCAGGCCGGGAGGCCTCTTTAGCCCCGGTTGGTATTACCAACCTTTAGTCCCGGGCGAGAAACCGGGAGTAAAGGAGGGGCCCTTTAGTCCTGGATTCGTGCTCCCGGTTGGAAAACCGGGACTGAAGGGGTTTCTCAATGGGTACAGATTGTTTCTGTACTGGTGTGTGTAGACAGGCCATCTTTTTGGATCATGCAGTCAGTAGGTGTCTTTTAGATCATACGTGCAATGCAAATTAGTAGATGTATTTTATATTAGGTCATGCATGTAATAAAAAATAAAAAATTTACATTTTACTTTATTTTTTGTCCGACCGAAGAAAAAAGGACCGTAAAGGGCGGGCAGGCGGCCATTTTTTGTTCCGCTAATTTGCATGCGGGCCGTACGAATTCGAGCGCTGCATGCCTGCGTCCAGAGTCTCGGACGTTCGGGGGAGCGGGGCGACGGCCTGAGGGGCTACTTGGCTGTGGAAGCGGTTCCCATAATTGCAGGGCGGGGCGACGTTTAGAACGCAGACGATACCCATAGAGGCTTTTTATATTTGTTTAGATTAGATTTAGATTTGCTTTATTAGTCGACAGCGTGACACATAGACGTGAGTTCACGTTCATGGCTCCGCGATTGTCGCTGGTGGGCGCAGCTGCAACATGGGGAGATCCTCTGCAATCTCGTGCGCACTTAGATCATCATCACTAGGCACATATATTTTGGAAGAATTTAGTAGACATGCCAAGTATTTTATATGCAAAATTTGAGGATCTATTTGGTGACATGTTCCTTAATGGACACCGGAAATAAAATAATTTCGGCTTTCGAGGGAGAGAGAAGCATGGAAATGTCCTTTTATTTTCTTCTTTGGTCTCCTTTTGTCCGACCGAAGTAAAACTATGAACCGGGGACCGTGATGTGGCAAGGGCGGGCTCATATAGGTGATGTGGCCATTTTGTTGTTCCGAAGCAATGGCGATGGTTCGGCTTGGAGCATGCGGGGGCCGTGCGGCTTTG